ATGGAAGGAGGAGAGGGATATACTTTATTTAATTTTCGCGACTCACGAAACGCATTCTGCACCGCACGTGTCCTGGAGTGCTCGAAGAATTGTACCGCAGATCGTTACTTCTTCGGCGAATCGCCCTTCGAGGAATCGATTTCCGCTCCGCGCGCACATTCGCCCGCTATGAAACTCGTCCGATTATTACCGAGGACTCGCGGAATAATGACGGTGGCCGAGAGCGACCGTTGCGCTAATAATTGTGATCCAGTTGCGCCGAATCGATGCCGAAATTGTATGTTGATGCCCACTGTGCAAGAAGTTACGAGCCGCGCCCGAAATGCAGCCGTGGCGATTGTTGTAATATCTGTTCAGTTTTTTACCGAAAGACTTAATCCCACCAGTGAACAATAAATTAAGTGTGAATAAAGATGAGAACTACTACTAATGCGCGTATCGATTCCGTCTGACACCGTTTAATGATACAATTTTTCATGAGCAGAGTCGAGACGGTATTGACAATTAATTACATGATTTACAATCTGCATTACTGAATTAATAATGTATTTCTATTAAAGCAGCAGCTTTAATCGCTCCGCGAACGAGTAAATTTACATATTTCTGAGTTTATATTCTTTTCAAATATAAAAATATCGTAGTCTTAATAATTATCGATAGAACGACTTATCATAAAGTGAAGCAATAATTGCGCGTCATAGAATTCTCTCTAGCCATATATATTTTAAAAAATTTTCAAAAATAATTAATCTTAAATCAAATTAATGCGTAGTCTTACTTTAACCGATCCCTGACATTACTACGATATATGTTATATTATATCAAACGCTGTTCAATCGTCAATCGTGATCGACAGAATAATTTAATCTCAAGTGCAATCGAGTTGGGCAAGACGATTAGTTATAGAAAATGCCTAATATCGCTCGCGTCGTAATCGCGCGCGATTGGCGCAACAATATATTGCGGCACGTGTATTTTTTAGCATTTCGATTGCGCGGTATCGCAATAATGGTAATATTGTCAGCTCGCTAAAATTGTCGATAGATAATGACGCTTCTTATTAATCAGTTATAAATGCAACAACGTCGTGTATATGTACGCGCCGCGGGCCCGCCAGACCGACCTTTTTGTTCGCTTCGCGATCGATCCACGTTGCGCATCGTTACGTGTAACCTTTCAAGTGGTGCGCGCGCTTTAGAGAATCCGAAACCAAGTACACATTCACGTTACCCGAGTTGAATTTGCAGTAAACTGCGGTAATCTAGGTCTTTTGCTTGAAACGTACGTTTGCCGTGCATATATATGTGCGCAAATTGTCGGCTATGCTTCTAGAAAAAGATATTAATTTTAACACTAAATACGTACATTTTTATTAACGATGAATCGTATTACAGATTTTATTTAATCTTTCTAAATATAATATATTTACTAAATATATAAAGATATATTTATTTGGTACAAGAAGCATTAATTTGATTTAACTATCACTTCTTCTTAGACATGATTCATTCTCAATGTATCAAATAGAAGAAAATTCATAGGAATTCTTCGAATGATATAAATGTCGCATTAAAAGAATGCTGATCTGCGTTTCCGATCGATTAGACATCGCGAGATTATATTGTAAGACACGCTTATATTGACGATCGACGCCCTCCCAAAATAGCAAAATGACGATCGAGCTCCGATGAAACGACGTAGTTACAATTACCATTACGTATATCTGTCACTCGTAGTTCCATTGTTCCGGAAAAGCGTGTAAAAGAATAGCGCGATGAAAAAAAGTGCGCCAGCGAGCGAGCGAGCGGCCGAGGTGCATTTTACGCATTCGCATGCGTATGCGTCGCGCTGTGCAGCTCTGGCGCGGCCTTGAGAGGGGTTCTTTGTGCAGTTCAGCGTTCACTGCAGTTCGCTCGCGTACGCTCATACAATCGCGAAACACGGGCGCGCGCGTGCGTACACCCACACAGTTAAAACTGGCTCCCGCCGTTACATACGTACACTGTAACAAGTTGCGTTGCACTTATGTACAAAGGGCGCTCCATGTGACTCACGTGCTCGCATATGCTACCGGCGGTCTCCGTTCCTCTCGCTCTTCCTCCCACTGTTGATCTTTCCTCCTTTCCCTCCGCGTCCTATTCTATTTATTTCTCTCTCTCTTTCTTTTTGCTTCTTTCTCATTCGTATATGTATATATATGTGTCGTATATGTACATATATACCCACATACATATACACGTAAACACTATACGTGCCGCGTTTCTCTCTTTCTGCTCTCTGTGCTTTTCTCTTTGTCGGTCAACGTCTCTATCCCACTCCATCGTTGGAGTGTGCAACATAGCTCGATCCAGATATACACACCGAAGTGCACACACGAGACCACGAAGAGCATGCATGCGGGTGTTGGCCACGTGCGCGATGCACTTTTTGCTCGCGGGGCAACCTTCGCCTTTTATGCGTCGTGCGCGCGCGGGGCCGCGTTGGAACTTTATACCCTTTTCAGTGATTTGCTACGACGAGCTTTTCGGTATACGCCGTTGAACAAAGGTAATAGGAAAACTGCGACAGTAAGATCACCGCGTATTTTTCGTAAAGTGGAAATGCTTCGTCGAGCTTTCCTTTGATAACGCTGATTTAAGCAGAAACGTGCAATAAATCGATTCTCTTTCAACTTTTGTAATATTCCTTGAAATTCTCAAATTAGATAATTCTAAAATATGTACCTTCATATATACATATATGTGTGTGTGTGTGTGTGTGTGTGTAGGTTACGTCACTATTTATTTTAAATCTTTCCACGTTTCCTATAACAAAATCTGCCTGTTTTCAACAGATTTATAGCTTTTAATATTCGCGTGTTGGCCAACAAATCGATTAGAAACAATCAACAAATTTCGAAAGAAATATATAATTCCGAATTACAGCTAACCATTCCCAAGTTCTTCGTGAAATCGTACGTAAAATCGCACATATAAAGACATAAATCCTTCAACATCACGAGTTTGGCATAATAAATATTGAATTCGATTATTATAAATCTCTCTCCGTAAAGGTTCCAGCGTGAGCGCGGGTGTTCTCACGCGGGAACCGTCGAGTGACATTTGACTGGAAAAACAGGTAGAAAGCCAACGGGGCGTCGATGCTGCATCTCTACGACGCATATATTTTGCAAACGGTGGAAAGCGCGCGAGCACTTGGCAATATTTCTCTTTCCTTCTTTCTTTCTCTATCCTTCTTAGTTGCAGCGCTCTGCAGCAACGAAGATTTCGCGACGGCTTTAATCGAATGTAGGCGATGACGATGTGTGTGTGTGTGTGCGTGCGCCGTTGCACAAGTGAAAGAGCCCCGAGCATTATGGACGTTTACTCGAAATGTCAAGGATGCAGCCACGTGTGCTTGCGCGGGAAGATGACGGAAAGACAGAGAAGAGAAAGAGAGAGAGAGAGAGAGAGAGGAAAGAAAGAGGAGAACGAGACAATGACAGCCGCGAGGCATGGTAGAATTGTTATTTTGTCACGCATGGCTTGTACGCGTCCACGCGAAATGAAAAGTGGCCATATCTAAATGTTTCTGGAACTCTACGGTACGGTGAGCGCCTTTTCGCAGGGAGCCACTTTCACTACGGTCGGAGTCGTGCGATGTGCTTTCAAGGTTGCAACCGCGGAGTGCAGGAGCATGATATCGTGATTTATGTTTCGTAACACGCGATAAGTGTCTTTTCGATGCGCTCTGTAAGGAGCAAGCATGACGTCAGCAGCCTGCACGATTGATATCCGATTCCGATCATGAAGCGATATTTATTTATATAATTCCGTTGCATCAGACAGTATTAGGATTTCTTTTATTCTCGAACTAGAGGAGGGATGACGTGGTCGCTTAATAAAACTGCTAGTCGATGACACGATGGTGAAGAGGAAGATATATCTGAACGTCAAACAAGCGACGACATAAGCGCAATGGAAAGCGTGTCACTTGGTAGCGGGAGACAGCGCGTCAAGACTTTATCGTTGAAGGATTGCAATGTTCTACGAAATCGTAGCCGCGGTAGATAAAAACGCGCATACATATCCAGACAGGAGACAGGCAGTCTGCTGTGGCGCGTGATAACGCACGTTTTCCAAGCGTAGGTACTGACGTATATGTTTGTCGAGCTTGGAACAGTTGATTCCAAGGCCTGACGCCTATCAATATCTACGATTGTCAATGTCGTTGTATCACGATCGGCCTAAGAAACCTTATGCGCAATAATTTAACAGACGTGATCTTCACGCCAAAGAAACTGTAAACACTCACGTATATATAATTCTGATACAGATTTATATTCTAATTAAAAAAATGTATTTTTATATCTTTATTTCGAATAAAAAAATATTTCTAATCGTTTATCCGAGAAATTGGAGCGAATGTCATAAGTTCTTACGATATCCAAATAGAAGTTACACGTGCCCAAGGGTATTCTCTCGTAACGTGCGTAAATGTCGAAACTATAAAGAGAAGGCTGTTGGATCACCCGATATAAATTTTAAAACGATCATTACCCAACAATGTCGTTTTTGCCATATTCGGATTACGTTACCTTGCAGCGTGCACTTAGTAGCATTAAACCTTATATGCGAAGTAACCGTCTCAGCACACTTCGGTCACTGACGATTTGCCATTGTGTAATGTAATTTGCGTGTAATCAATTGTCGTTATGAAGCGTGGCGATACGAGCGGGAAATGTTATTACCGTTCGTTGGCAGACGGTAGCTATAAAATCGCGGTCATCGTTAATTCAAGTATTACGTGACATCGCTGTCTGATAAATGTATTCGAGACGAAAGAATCTCTTAATTATGACGTAGTAGTATGAGCCGATCGATCCAATCATTGCTTCTTCTTGACTTCCATCTACGTTAATATAGCAATCTGTTTCGCAATTTGTTTATTTTCGTACACACAAAGAATACAAAAATTTGTATAGAACGAATCTTGAAAAGAGTTTTCCTTTTTTTCCATAGATCGGGCGCCGCGTCGATCCGATTCTGGATCTCAGCCACCTCTGGTGATCTGGCTGCAGCCCGGCAACGTCGAAGACTTGTCGAGCTTGCCGCTACCAGACCTGGTGCAATCGGCCGTGGATCAGCTGCCACCGCCGTCGCCCCACGTGACAGTTTCAGTCCCTAGCAGCCCGATGAGAGACGCGACCTTCCAGTTCCCTGAGTGTAACGTCAACAGCAACGGTGCACCGTTGCCGAGCCCAAGGCCACGGCCACGAAGACGTTTTGCCTCTGAGAGCTCTGTCATGGAGACGGGCCCGACCGAGGTGAGCAACTGCAACGGTACCACCTGCCGCTGCCACCTCGGCCTGATCCTCAACGAGAGGCAGTCGTGGACGAGCGTGGGTGCCAATCTCAGGAACATCGCCGGTGATTTCCACGCGTGCAGGACCAAGGTCAGTGTTACATGCCAGTCTCACTTCACATTGAGATTCGCAATTCCGATTCGAGCAGCGGGGGAGGAATGGAGATTGCGGATCTCGATATGGAGTCACGCATCGTCTTTTCCATATTAAAATACGCATTCCTCCTCCGCGATTCAATTGCATTAATATAACGGTATTTATATCTCGAGAATGATAGAATATTGTAAATAGTATCTATAAATAACTGTGTGTGTCAAGTTTCATGCTCATTTATTATTAGAGATTAGGTTTTATTTTTGAGTCGGGTTATCGACAATTTTGAACACCGTTTTATCGCTTTTCTCTTCGCGTCATCGGTACCATCGCTGATGGCGTAATACAGAAGCGTTTATGGTAAGAGGTGTACAGGTGTAAAACGCCATGCGTAAAAATTGTATGCCACGCGTTTTGCACACACAAAAGCCATCATGTAACTTTTCACTCCGCGCATCGCAATTTCATCTTCCCCATGAAGGCTTTTATTTGTCATAAAGTTGCCCTTGTGCCCGCGAGTATTATAAAATGTAACGAATGCACGACAAAAGAATCCTCCGAAGGGTTAGTTTGAAATTTTGTTTGCCCTCGAAATCCCTAAATTTCGCTTAATTTACAAATTATATCACAAGTTCCATAAACATATACGTGTTTATTTTTTGTAAATTATAGATACTTTGTGTAAACTTTTTCAAGACATAACGAATCCAAAAAAAATATTTCAATTCAATATAATTAAAGTTAACGTTTTCTTTATTTATTATCAAATATTTTATTATCAGAATTCCTACATTAATTCCTAATTCCTAATCTGGTCAAACCGTAACATTATTTACCTCGATGAATCGATACTCCTTCACGAGTATCGATTTCGGGATAGACTAGTACCTAGATTTTTCTTCTGATATTCAGGATTTGATAGCGCCATGAATGAATGAATATCTTTCATTCCGTCGCGAAACTTTTAGGCGCCTCACCACAAGTTGGAGTTTGCAGTTAAAGGTGTTTCTTCTTTAAGAAAGATAGAAACTATCGTCGTTGCGGGGTCATAAACGCGAATTTAGTTATATCAGGGTACCAGCGATGTCCCACGAGTGCAATAAATATCAGCTCACCACCGTCGAGACGTCTAGTATTGCCCCCCGTGTGTATGGCCCGGGTGCCACTAGCACTTCATCAAAACTCCATCCCCTTCCCTCTCGTAGTGGTCGTTCGATCAAATATGTATCGCGGACTGATATGGTCCTTCTCTGGTATTTTACGACGGTTTTTCTCTTGTTCGCGGAAGAAAGAAAGTGGCGATTGGGAATTGGCTGGCGAATAAATAGAGAAATGCGAATCGAAGATATATATTACGAACATAGAACCGTGCACGATGTCGTCATCTTGGAGATTAATGCAATAATGAAACGTCTACGATATTTATTATTTTGATGGATTGACACTCTATATATGCGAGACTATATTCCTAGCTTTTTTTTTTTTTACTAAAAAGAAGTAATACCTATCATCCATGTTGCGGATTAATTATAAATATCTCTTTTCTAAAAATGAGAAACTCATTAGAGAGAGACGAGGCAATCCTTCTTTCTCGAATATTAATATTTAAATTTCAAACGCTTATCCAATTATGAATGCAATTTCCTGTTGTCTATTATTAGTCAAGACAAACATATTGCGCGATCAATATTATGCTGAGTCGTTTCATCCGGCTCTCAGTAATACGTGAAAGAAACGAGCACAATTAATGCAAAAAGTTTCTGATTATTGTCGCGAAGTTACGAGATATCCATTCCTTCGTTGAATTTCGTTGAAATGACTACGGAGGGTAGTTCGATCAAATATGTATCGCTGAATGAGAAAATTCCCCTCGATTTTACAATGACTCTTATTTGCGGTTGCGGATTGAAAGAAAGTGAATGGCAGCAGGATGAGACACTAATAGGAAAAGTAAGAAGAAGAGAAAGTAGATGGGGAGAAAGATAGTAAGAAATGAACAAGATGGAAAGAGCCACTTCTTTTTTATTCCATTCCGCCTCGCTTTTATCCACTTTAAAGGTCCGCCGGCGTGATATCCAATCCCGGAACGTCTAATTATTGCTGGTTAAGTGCCGGTAATTGAAGAGGGGCGAACAGACCCGTGAAATTGAAGAAATCTCTTCGTCTCGCCTGTTCGTAGGAGATCCGATACCGATCAGTTCCTCGACTTGGTAACTCGAGAAGCGTCTTGTTGATAATACGAATAGAGGATCTCCTAGAGATCTCCAACAGGGTCGGCTTCACGCTTTTCTCTTCTTCGCGCGCTCGAAGAAATAGAAACGTCAGAAAATAATACCACACTAGCAACGTCGTTCGCGGATCAAAAGACTAATCAACTAATGACATCTCGTCACATCTATCGTCTTAAAAAAAATTTACATTGAAATTTGATTACTTCATCATTCAGTAACGTACACAATAAAAGTAATTTTCGCTTTTCGCGAAAAATTATTTAACACTAAAGTGGATTATATATTCCAAATACGTAGAAATAGTTCTCAAAACTCGAATGCTCGGCATCGAATCGCGGCTTTTCTAACACGTCTAACGAGCTTTTCGCAGATTTCCGGAAATAATACGTCGCAAGTCACGGAAACGATCTCGTCTGCCATGCCCCTCTGCGCGCAACGGTCACGGATCTCATGGAAACTGATGGCACGGTGCTTTACATATGCATGGAGAGTAAGCGAGCATGTAGCGGCTAAGTGGCTACATCCCCTTACGTGAAAGTTAAGTGGGCATGGCAGCACGAGCCGTGGCCACGGGCCGAGAAAATTATCTTCAATTATCTCGTGCAATCGGAGCTCTCCTCCTCCGCCCTCCGCTCGTTCACTCCTATCTCGCCGCGTTTTGTCTGTCTCGCTCTTTCGATTAGCCTTTCGGCCGATCGTCACTTTTATACCTGCACGGTAATCGAATAGTTTATACGCGTTCTCGCCATGTTTTCGTTGACCTCCAGATAGAGAGGGTTATACACCTGGTAACTCGCGTTTTCTATGTAATACAGGATTATGGGTGAGTGGCCGCGCTCGTAAAACGCGGAATATAGTACTTGGACGTGTCAGAAACAGCGAAATAGCCGACTCCTCGTGTATCGCTTGGAAAATTGAAGTCAGGCAATTTCCCGTGAGGGCATACGCCGATACACTGCGTACACTCTACAAAACTCATTACTCACGAACACACGTTAGAGATCCTTGCTTGTCGAAATGTTAGTTTAGAAGCTCCTAAATGATTCGATCTAATTTGTTTCCGTGTACTCGCAACAAGAAGTATACTACTTCACGGATTAACGTACACGCGTCTGCGACGGATCTCGTGACGAAACGCGCGCGCTCGTCTGACATTTATCTACAGTCGTTTAAACGATCTGACCGACGCGCAAATTGATACATTAGTATACCCTCATCGCGCAGCGAGAGATAACGGATCTTTTTGCGATGGCGCAAGTCGAGGGGCAAAGCATGTCGAACCACTGCTAAAAGAGGGAGGAGGAGGGGAGCACCCGATACAAGAAAGTCGATACAAGAAAGTCGATAGTTCTTCGGACCGTAGCTTATGTTCGTTGCACGCGAACCGCTTAACTCTCGTTTACGTCTTATTTTCCTACCTTCGCTGGTAGATATTGTATGTACCTGCGACGCCGCACTCCCGCTATTCCTCTCGTCAAGGTACACACGGCTGCACCACTGCGCGTAACCTGCGCGCAAATTTATAACGCTTTGTCACGCGCAGCACTCGCGGAAATTCCTGCTTGCCGTTCCCTCGTTTTATTGGAAACGGGAAAATTATTATCGCACCGCGCCTGTGCGATTTCGCCCCCACGAGGCAGCGATAATTTATATAATACTCATGCATCTCTTTAACGAGTCACCTGTAATAGTAATAATAACGATTCGCTTGATAAGCGACTGCCTCGTGAAAAATAGTGAAAGTCGCGAATAATTTCTGCAATATGATGACGGTAACTGCAGATTGCAATTAGTTATCATGTATGCAAGTGTAGCCGTAATAATCAGCAATGATCGACGTTTAATTATTAGTTATTATCGGCTGTAAGCAACGATATTAACGGTTCTAATCGTTAATTGAGAAGTTAATTGTTTATCTATTTTTCAAAGCGAGATTGATCTTTCAAGAAATAAGATTGACCAAACAATCGAGCGTGACATGCGTTTTTCCGCGTGCGTTTGGGTCTCGCGACGGCACTTTTCGATTATCGTCGACCGTTGTTACATCGCGCAGCTTGTTTTAACGACAGTTAAGAGAGACTGGAGAGACTGGCGAGACTGGAGAGCTCATGAGCGGCGTTGCACGTACCGAACGAGCATGCCGACCGCAACTTCTGTTTTCCATCGGCTTTTTCTTACTTAATCTTCGCGGCGAAACCTTAGAACTGGGCGATTGGCCGTTTCCACGGCAAACCGCGCAATTACGTTGCACAATAATCTATCTTGCCAGTAGTCGCGCGCGGCGCACGCTCGCGATCGTAAGCCTTCTCTATCGTGCCGACGAGGAACGAGGATGGAGAAAGAAAGAGCGAGAGGACTACAGGAGCGTTTGGTTTAATCGCTCGCATCGCGTACTCTCGCGAAAGCCGTTCGTGCGTAATTGTCGATATTTTTTTTTTTTTTTTCCAGTCGACCGACAATTCGCGATAAATCGCCGCGAGCGCTATAAGCTTGACTCATAAGCGCGGTGATTATCCCACCGCTCGTAAATTGATTTATTTCGAGGATTGCGCGATGCATAAACCGGGAGACAGGCGTGCGGGAGTTCTTACTTTATTCTCCGATTGTCCGTCTGTTTTTCTTCGATGTTTTTGCCGGTGCAGCAAACGTATCGATGGCTCGCGCGTAAGCGCGGAAATGCAATATATTGATTTTCCTTTCGCGATGCGTATTGAAGAATTGATTGCGGTCGGCAATACGGGCAATCACGGGGAAATTTACATTTTACGATTCATTCGTCATAAAGCAGAGTGCGTTGCGTCTTTTCTGCAATTTGCTTTCTAATCTGCATTCATGTATTTTTCGTATACTTTTGATCGCAGTGGTTTTCTTTTGTACGTGAAATGTTTTTACTGTCATTGATCTGTCAGTCGACCTCGTTTTCCTCTTTTCTTTTTCGAATCTGGAAAATTGACTCATGTATCGTGACGACGACAATTTTTTTTGTGTGAACGTACAACACCGCGTATTTTAATTTACATACGTAGGTATCTGTGGCATTTATCGAACGCATATAAAAAAATGTGTAAAAGGGTAATATCGCGATATTTCCTCTCTCGCTTTAAAATACTATTGTAATTAAAAAAACATTTCATGTAAGTTTAATGTTATCGATTTAATCTTATCGGCAAGAGACACTTCTCATATTTCACTTTCTACAAAATAGTTTTGACATAAAATAAAATAGTTTTCTATTTGCACACGAAGGACGTGCAGCCAATCGTATTGCTCGAACGTGCGTTCTCTTCCGGACTGCAGGGTTATAAAACGGCATCACGGCGATATCTCTGTGGCTGTTCATACACGTAGAGGCTAACGACACGTCCGCGAAGAGAGAAAGTCTATCTCGTGGTCTCGGTTACTGTCGCAGGTGGCCGATCGGGGATCCTCGTACGCATTAGACATTAACGAACGTTGATCATGTCCCTTCGCCCTCCGCCCTTCGCCCTTCGCCCTTCGCCCTTCGCAGCGACTCGGTGTTCACCCCAGTGTCAGTCGTCAAAGCACGATTCCGCGGCGAGGAAGGGACACTATTAATTGACGAGCAGAACGCTTCCACGAGCAGCACTCTCGCGCCCTCCCACATAATTCTCCCTTAATGTGACGTTCTCGTCTACTCCTCTTACTTTCCGCCCTATCCACATCCAAGATAATCTTTCCTCTCGCGCTTATACGCGCCAACGACGAATCGAATGTTTTTTTCCCGTGCGTGATTGCAAGGGTGTGAGAGAGCATGTATTCTCTTTCTCTCCCTTTCCCTCTCCTTCTCTCTTCTTCCTTCGTAGGGTCAAACACTGCCCAGATATTATGGTCATCCCATAAAAGCCCACCGCCTTGGTGATTGGGCTTTCCCCGGGCGTTTATTATTGCACGTCCGGTCACGGCGAGTGGATTAAGACGAGACGGGAATCGGAAGTCGCGGGTCGAAGCTGAGATAACGTCGACAGGAGGCGGGCAGAATGGAGAAACAAAGGGAACCCTCCGGAGTTAATCGTCCTGCGGCAGGAGATCGTTCTTTCACGCGAGATATTACAAGAGCGTGCTATCAAGATTTGCGATAATTTTCTCGGACTTTAGCTAGGTCAATGTAATGGATTTTTTATGCGTTTCTTATATTAGATCATTTAAAAAGTATTCGCGGTTTTTTGTTCAATTTTTGAATGAAAAAAACCGCGGATACTTTTTAAATGACCCAATATTATATTATATTTCGCTCGGGAAAAATTATATCTGTATTTTACAAAAAATAATGCATCGAATTATTTCGGCGTAAACTCACATGTTAACCTGCGTCAAATTACAAATTACAAATTGAACCAATGATAAAAGAAGATATTGTGAATAATGAATTTTTACGTGTATTAGCGCAGACAAATTTGCAAGAAATTTGTACAAGGCGTCTCGCATGAAGGATTTCGCATCTCGTCTTTTTGTTTTAACAGAGAATTCTTGCGATCCAGTTAATACGCGGAATCATTATACCGGCCTTATCCGAAAGTATCGCGAACTAATTGGGTAATAAGTATCGTTTATAAGTACATCCTAACGGAATTCCTTTTTGCGCGCGAGCGATTTATACGATTCTCAGCACGAAAACCTGCACTGCGGACGCGGCGACTTCACCAATACCAGTAGTCGTAGGTATTCAGTGCAACGGAATGGAAGTTAATTGGGTAATTAGTGTCGTTAATAAGCAAGCTTTAATTGAACCTTTTTTCCGGGTCGCGAGTGGTTGCGCGCGAGAAACGGTTTCCGTAAAGAAAACAGGGAACCTGAGAGACGTTGTAGACTTTAGCGACGCGATATTTCCCCTCTTACAACGCTGTCGTCGTTCCTCCGTGTAAATTCGTCGGAGTAAAGGGACTCGATAAAACGACCGCGTCGCGTTTTCCTCCTTTTTTCTTTTCTTTTCGTTGAAGACTTAGCCGCAAGAGAGTGCCGGATCGTCGGTAATTCCGTCCAATTAGGACACTCCCAATTAGGAACCTTAACCCCGCACGTCGATCGTTGTTCCTTCCCATACCATTCTCATTCTCCGGATCTACTACTACGAGGAGAAACTTACGACAGGTCGCCTTCGCCAAATCTTCGCGAGAGTATCGGAGAAGTCTCGTTACGTCCATATACCGTTTAAATATCCATTTTCACAGAGACACACATTAACGATATTGCAATCTAAATCGTTATTATCGTCTATTTTATTTTAACTACGTACTTTGTCATCAATATGCATATGACTATATATGCATATGAATATATTTTTTTCTATCTTACACTCGTACTCTCCGTATAAACATACATTGTTGTCGGCGGAGAGTTAAAATTAATAATTGATTATCAGTATATACTTCAAATATTAAACGTTAACATTTCATTCTGTTAGAATTGAACAAAGGTGGACAATACTGAGCGATGAATGTCGCTGCTTACTGTTGCAGGACGCCGAGATCGAGAAATCGACGCTACCGGTGATCGGTCCAGGTTTGAACGGTCGCAACAGCAACTCGTCATCCACCGATAGCCTGCTGTCGCTGTTGATTCCGACGCCGTTACGAGAGACCCTTTGGGCAACGGTGGCTCTATACCTCGGCTGGAGACTTGTCTCCCGCCTGCGATAGATGCGCCGGTTTCGTCCAACCGTTCTGGGTAATCCTACGGGCTCGATCGTCGATTGTGTCGACGACTAGAACGGCGATATTGGGGATTACAATTAGAAGAAAACGGACGGCGGACCGCCAGGCACTTCTTTCCTTGTCTGCGATCGCGGACAATCCTGTATGGAATCCTCTGGACGGAGATCCTCTGGTTTCGAGAGGAGAAGGAGGAAGAGGAGAAGAGGCAGTCCACGGCGCGTACTCTGGATCTCTCTATGTCATCGGACGATGGATTTAATTGAGGTAGAGCGCGTCGAGAAGACGAAACGTTCTTTTATTGAACATGCACTCCGATAATACGATTGTAATTTTATATTGTCTATCTTTGTATTTCGCGCTTGCGTTGCGCGGCTACGCGAGAATGCGCTTGATCGACTTTGATCGGTTCCTGAGGGACCATGCGACTGCAAATTTGATATCTTTTGATCATGACGATGAAAGTAGTGATAATTATTTGCTTCTGCGGCGTGCTTCTGATTTCCTTATAATTGATGATTCTAATTAATTGATTAATTTGATAATTGATAATTGATTATGTATTGCGATTTATTTAGTAGTTGATAACTGATAATTAATAATTGTAATTAATAATGATGATGATGGATTGATTTTATAATAATTTTTATATTGATCATTGTGATAATTGATAATGATAATAATGATTGAGTTGATGAGTCATAGTTGCTCTCTACTATATATCTTTTCATCCCTCCTCGGGGGACGAACGGGTAGATTTTATATAAAAAGATCTTTAATTGGGAAGGTTGATTCCAAAAAAAGTTCTTAAATATTATCTATCTATTGATTAAATCGATGTCGACAAGAGAATCGACCATCCTATCTATTTGCTTCATTGCTGTTTGTGAGAATTGCGTGCTGTCGATAAATTGTGACTGTGATTGCCGCGATGATGACGAAGCGAGGGTTAGCGACGACGGGACAGCGACGTCGAAGTACAAGTGCATTCTCGCGCGATGCAGGAGTTATTTTCGTACGTAGCGCTGTTCGTTCGTGCCGATAGTTCATCCTGCGAATTCGTAGGCAAAGGGGCGAAGAACGGGAATTAGCATTTTTGCGGGGACAGGGGGGAAGATAACCCGGATGAGAGAATAATCGAATTGCGTATTATATGGCGATCGGACCCGAGACACGAGGAGGGAGGTATTAAGGGTGACGGGGGAAACTAAGGACGAGATCCAAAGAGGATTAAACCCAATAATCAAATGATGATCTCATTACGGATAAATAAAGAGAATTAAATAAAGTAGTGTGATTATATGGGAGCGAGAGAGGGCGGACCACACGCCCCCCAATTCTCTGTCTTCTCTTCGCGCGTCCGTCCCTCTCTTGATCTCGCCAAGGTAGAAAGACTATTCTTCGGTATGTGGCTTGTAGATAACGCAATTTCCCGACCGGTAGCGGTCGACGGAGCAATTTTTGTTCAAGATTTTTTTTTTAACGACGCCGCGCTACGATGATGTTTCGCGCGAAGCTCGTTTATCAAATATATATATATATATATTTTTTTTTTCTTGAAAAGAGACAAAGAAGTAGTTTTAATTTTGACAATGTCACGGGCCTAACTAATAGATCTGTTTTATCTGAATTACAATCGATTTACAGTTTATTATAATATAATCGATCGGCCTCGCCAAACATCTACGGTGCGCGTGCGGAATGTATGTATATAAAGAGACGTCGAGAGGGATGACGATTCCAAAAATGTTAAGAGGATGGGGGACGAACGAGGACGTAAGGTGGAGATAGGGGAGCAAACTTGTATATGCATAGAGGATTTATCTAAAGTAAATAAAAACTCAGTAATAAGTCGATGTTATAATAATTAAAGTAGATAATCGATAGGCCGAGGATCGCAGCATCTTGATTGGCTAGCTGCGACTCCCGTGGACAGTTTTCAAATGATCTCCGGTAGCTTAGCTATTAGTAGGCACCCTCGTGACATGCGAGATGCCTTTCGCGGCACATCGGAAGGAATATATCTCCTTCTTTCCTCTGTGCCCTTTCTAACTTCTATTTTCTCTTTCCTTCTTTCCCGTTTCTATCTTCTTTCTTCTATCGACAAAAACTGTCTATCGATTCTCTTGCTCTAACTCACCTATCCTCAATCTTCTAAGAAGATCCCCTCCGTTTCACCTTCCCTGCTTCGCAATTCCATGTTTATCGACGACAGTTCTTTACTGTTCTGTTGTGCGCGACGTAACGTAACGTAACGTAATCTCTGATCTCGAACTTAGTGTGTATTGGTAAGAATCATGTGTTGTGTTCGCTTGACGATCCAGAGTCTCAATTTTCATGGGCGAGCAGACCCGAGCCTTCTCGTTTCGCGATTTCTCTTAAGATTCTAGATAGGAACGGCGGAAGGGCTAGCCTAACGAGTGAGGGGATGGGAACAATGTACCCTTGGGCTTTCTCGTTTGGTTTTAAACTATCGAGACCAAAACTATCGAGGCTGCTGTACAGTCGTTCCTGCGGACCACGCTTTCTCTTCTCCCCGAGTGTAAATCTATTGCGTTTTCCTTTGTCTCCCTATTGATAGGATGATCGTGACGTTATTCCGTCAAAGTATTCCAGTGTATAGATCTATAGTATTTATTTGTAGGCGATACCATTTTTTTACCGTCTAATAGAGCCGCGTTTTGAGATAAATATATACGCGGAATACACACACACACACACACACATATATATATATATATATACAAATCCTCGCCAGACGCTTCCAAACGGGAGCGATTTTGTGGAAAGTCAATAACGTCGGTGTCCATAACACATAATTTCTAAAGATGAAAATAGTTAAGAGTCATTTTGAAACAGAGATATTTAAAAAAAAATACAAGTATTTGGTACGCGCTGTAAGGAGCGTTATACACGGCGAGAAAGCTAACGCGTTATTCTAATCTCATTACGCGCGGATTGTAGAGTCTTCGTATTTTCACATTCTATAACGCTTTATTCTGTCGTATTTTCGCGAGCCATTTCTCATCGTCAGGAACTCGGATCCAGTTCCGCGAAACGCGAGTCACCATTAAATCTAGCACATGTTGAAATTATCATCGTGTGTGTATACAATGCATACGTATTATTTTATTTGGTAAAATTCAATTACCATCTAAAAAAATGCATTTATCAAATTTATCCGTGAATATGTTTTTCAATATGCAGTAATAATTAACTGTTTTTTTTTTTAATTCGTGAAACATTTATCGAAAAATTGCATATTTTTGGGAAACCTAATGAATATTAAATTCAAAATTTTTGAATTAAATTCTAAAAATGAGATTCTGAATTTCATTTTAATTGAACGGTATTTATAATTTTAACAAAAATCTTTGTCATATTCATTCGAAATTTTTGATTTTCACAATTAGTAAGCTAAAATTTGATTGAAACTATCAAAATTTGAACAACATTTGCGGTAATCAAACATAAAACTTGCCAATTAATAAAAATATTAACAATCGTCGCGAGAAATTTTATCTGAATTTAACGGTGATTCGCGTTTTACAGTCGGTAGAATTTCCAATCATTGATCGGATTTCCTCTGTGCAGCTTGCTCCTTTCACGGAGAGAGCACGCAAAGGTACAAGATTATCATATTATACACATTTAATAATAGCTAGTGTTCGTCGTTATATCATCGAGCCACGAACTAAGAGAGACAACTCTTTCTCGATGGAGGTTGTTGCATTGCATTCCGACCAAAGGGAAAATTCCCGTTTTCCTGCAGCGCGGTGAAACGAGACGTGAGACGGCCTAAAAGAAAGGTCGCCATTTAATCCTTTTACTTCGTAGATAGGAAAAGGCAGAGCGAATTCGCGAGCTCCCGCCGGTTAGGGCCTGGGGGCGGTTTCATACACGCCATATAATA